ATTAAATTTGCACGAGTTTAAAGAATTAATACAATTGCAAGTTGCTTGCTTATGCTTAAGTCTTGAGTATAGCTCTATTATTAATGAATATAAAACCTGCTCCTTGCTGTTCATCTTGATGTTTAAATCGAGTTTTCTGCTATTTTATTTGGTAAAAAATCATCTCTGATCGGGTTCTTCCATTTTGTTTTTTTATAATTTAGATTTTTTCTGAACTTGTTTTTTTGAATCCAAGTTCAAAATTGGAGTCTTCACCAACCCTACAATCTTTACGACCTATATTATTCTAGTGTTCGATAAAACATGTCGAATATTTACGACCTAATTAAATGGAGTAATTGACTCCATTGCTGCTTTTGTTTTTAGTTTTCGTATTGTACTTTCAACAGATTGAATGATTATGATAAAGAGTAGCGTTATTCCAATAATTTAACTACTAAACCCTAGGTTGTATACGTAAATATTAGACAAAAACCTGCCAACCATTTACGGGCTAAATGGCGTAATTAACTCAATTCAAAGACAAACCCTAAAAAGCTTTCCACAGACAGGATAAGGAAACATGAGACGACCATATTTCATTCTTCTTTAAAAAGCTTATCATCGTAATAAGTCTGAATAAAGAGAGAATCAACCTCAGGGGCCATATTTTCTTTTCCATTGGCTGAGCTTTAAATTTAGTCGCCAAAAGGGGAAACAGTTTTATCTTCAAACACCTTAAAGCTTGTAGTTATCAAAATAAAATAAAAAATAAATAAAATATTTTGATGAATGAAGATCATGTTAGGGCTAGAAAAAAAAAAAGCTGATCCTTTGGCCCTCTTATAAGCATGATTATTGTCGCAGTCCCACCACATTTTTATACATCAAAGCAAAAGATTCTGGCGAATTCGACTCCGTGAATGAGGGAAAAAGTTTCTACTTGAATTTAGTTACTTTAGTAAGTTTGATTTTCCTGTAGGTCTATTAGACTTTTGTTCACTCCTCTAAACGTACATAAAATTGCGGGGGTTCGTATTTATTGATTTTCTTTTGTGTTATTGTTAGTAGGTTTTGTGAGATGGGGTTAGGTTTGAATTTTGTTCAATTTCGGATTGACTTATGATTGATCTCATTTGAAGCCAAGGCATCCAATGCATTTGAATGAATTCCTTAAAACTATAAAGAAATGTCAACGATAGGCATAAATACGATTGTCAGTAGCTTTTTTTACAATATACGTCCATTTTGAATAAAATAAAATATACATTGTATTTATTTTCAACACATGTTGCGAGCAGATTGACGACTATTGTTATTATTCGCTAAACACTCTTTTTGTTTTTATAAGAGTTTGAGACAAATTTTTAACATTTAAAATAACGTTATACATGTAAAGTTAGACATCAATTGATTTGACAAATTATGTTACTTACCTTTCGGCTTTGTATTCCAACCAGTTTGATAGATACTCTTGCAAATTATACTACTGGACTATAATTGAGATATTTTTTATAAAAAGATACACCATTTAGAATCCTAACTTTATGAACATAATATTACTAAGACATTTATCATCTTTAAAGTCCGAAAACACATCTCAAATAATCGCATATGGATATTTCTTGGAGTTCGAAAACATTTGGTATCCAAACCATGTCAAATATGGGGTTTGGCCCATTATGGGAGACAAATTTCTAGTTTTCCAGCCCATGATAGGATTTGGGTCAGGTGTGGTTGTTAAAAGGCCCGTAAAGATGCTAAGAGCGAAGAGTCCAAAATTGAAAGAAATGTGGTGTTGAAGCCCATCAAATTTGCCTCATAATAGAAGATAAACTATTGATTCGATTATATTATATTTGGTAAATTAAAGAAATTCTGACGCTCAAAAACAATAATAAAGTAGCAAAAACATTTAAAATATTATCCATTTATGGGTTAAACATAGTAATCTCGTAGATTATGCATGCCATGATTATATTATGTCGATAATGTGTTTCCATGTTGAGTAACATATATCACATGCATAAGTAATCTAATACAATATAATTGAATAACATGAGATAATTATATATAGGTTTTGCTAATTCTATATAATATATTTAAGTAGTATATATGTGTGTTTATGAATAAACCCATGTTGTTCATGTAGTAATTAAGGACTTATAATTAAACTTATGGTTGCATGTTTGGAAGATGATTTTCATACACATTCATTAATTTGATCATCTTGGACTCACATGCATCATCGGTCAACTTCAGATACAACACAAATGCTTTTTTATTTATTAATTCTTTCACATGCGTTAACCTCAATCATTCAATATTACCATTAATTTTAATCAAGCAAAATTTCGTATGATATTTTTGTAAGTCTTTTTTTTCCCCTTATAATCAAGAAAATTTTGGATCTCAATTTGCGAAATGAAGTTCAAAATTATAGTCCTTGTCAAACTCTTGAGAAGCGAAAAACAATAGCTTTTAACTATCTATGAGTGGGCCAAGTGGTTTAATACGAACTTTTGGATGTATTACTCAAGAGATCATGAGTTCGAATCTCTTTTTATGTGCTAATAGGGATAACCATTGAAACTCTTATCTAACCGATAGTTTTAAGGTTTCGAGAGATTAATTGAGGTACACGTAAGTTGGTTCGGACACCCCTATCATTTAAAAAAAAAAAAACTATGGTTTTAGATGTGTATATAACCAACATTTAGAATTAACTCTAAACAAATTTTTCTAGTCTACGCAAGATTCGTAACTACTACTCTTATAATAATTATTATCAGACACTTATTTAGTGAAAATTTAGATTAAGCTTTACTCCAACCTTTTCTTGTTCGTCTTGACAATTCATACCTTTTTTTTTTGGTAATATAAAAAAGCCTCAACTTCATTTTTGTGAAATTAAGCTGGAAACTAAAACCTATTCGAACCTTACAATCTCTTGGAATAAAAAAACAATAGGTTTTACCTATGTAAGTATCTATTGAGGGATTCAAATAATAAGATAATATTATTATACATACTTTGAGGAACATTACGTCATTACATGTACAATATACGGATTTTAGTGTACTATCTACGTATATACTCAACGTTTAAATTGGGTTGCAAGTCAAGTAATAAAAAAAAATCAAAGTACAAACTAATATTCATTTCTGCTTATTTGGCTCCGTTGCCCAAGGAGAAAATCACGATTAAATTCAAGAACTGAAAGCCACCCTTCCTTCACTCAAGCAAGCTTAAAGCGAAAGCCGAGCGTTTCATGTACGCCAAGTTGAAGATTATGAATAAGCCAACTGCGGCACGTTTGGGCACCCGCACCATTGTTTTTGTGATGGTAAGCTTGAGAAACTCGTGAAGTAGCCGAAATCACAGAAAGTTATTCTTATTATGTTCAGTCTGTGATTCCAGTGGGCCATTTTTAACTCACGGGCTATTTTTTTTTTCCAAAATTATTTTTACATTATGTGAAATTAGCTATGTAGATGTGGACGTTTTGAAGTTGTTAGCGCATGGATATTAAATTGGGCATCGTATTGTATATCGAAAATCTAATTTTTTGAATTATGTATCGTATATCGTAGGATATATCTTTTTCAAAAAAATTAATAAAATGATAATTTTTTTTCTTTCTAAAAATTAATACCATTCCAAGGATTAATTAAAGAATTTTGTGGTATTATTAGCTTTAAATTATAGTATTACATAATCAAAATTAATCAAAAAATTAAAAATTTATATTATTTCATCTCAACTATTTATATATTTTTCAAGATCAAGGTTAATATCTATATCTCCGCTTGTATTATTATTATTATGTAAAATGGGCAACACATATTCTTCTTCACTTTCTCCATACAAAATGGGTAAATTTAGACAGGTTTTAGTAAATCGAGTTGGGTGACTTGAATTTGACTTGAAATATTTTTGGACATTTGACCCAAATTAATAAACTCGTATCGATATTTTTAAGGATATGAATGGATACGTATCGTATCGTAGAATACATATCAACGTATCGAAAGGATTATGATACACTCTTTGATACGTATCGTTGACGACTCATCTCGAATCGTATTGTAGGATACGTATAGCATATCGTAGGGTACTAATAACTATATTTTAGCGTACAAACTAAATGTGAATGACTAATATGTGACTTCCGCAAAATGCAAATATATATATATATCAAGGATGAAGTATCCAACGAATTTGATAGGTAGGGACAATGTACATAATGTAGGCATAAGCTACACATAACCTATCTAAATTCCCCTGTCATATATAATGTTATGGAAGAATGTGCTTTAAAATTTCAAAAACACTTTAATCTCTATCTAATTATATTTGATTGAAATAAATTAACTTGTTTTCTTAAATAAGAATCAAATTATATTTTCCAAACAACACTTAAAATATTTTTTACCTTAGAAAACGTTTTTTTATTAATTTTTACTTAACACTACAAATTAAATCTAAATAAATTTTTAACCATTTAAAACACTCACAAAATTCCCCCCCAAAAAATAATAATAATAAAAAATTCCATTTCCTAATTTAATTCCTCTACACCTTCCATCACATGCAGGAAGAATCTAACACAAATTTAGTCAGACAATCTGACGCTTCATAATCATTTATCATTACAGATCATCATTTATTCTATCCATCCAGATCAGCTAATTACGGGCCCCACTCACTTTACTCTCCACGTGTCCGTCACCGATGGGTCGGTGTAGCACACATGCTCTTAATTATTTTCCCTCTCTGTACGGCCATTCCCCATACGGACATCATTAAAACAAACCGGGTTTAACGGGCCCGACCCAGCAACTGGTCAATACCCGATGAACCCGGTCAAGTGTTTTCCCGCATTGGAATCCAAACCTACTCCAGTCGTGTCCCTCCACGTGGATGAACTCTATTGGATGAATCTCTGGAATCCAATGAGACTTTTTCGTTATAAAAACGAACAACGTTAGTTTTGCTTTCTTCATCTCTCGCCTCGCTCAGCTCAACTCCCCAGCAACTAAAATGGCGCGAAACATACATTCTTTACCGGGAAATGTTCCGGCACTTCGCGTCGTTTTTGTTGCATTCATATTCCTCCCTCTCCGTTTAGTCACCGCCGGCGGCCAACAACAACAACACAACTACTTCGCCGCCCTCCACAACAGCATTCTCTTCTTCGAGGGCCAACGTTCCGGCCGCCTCCCTCCCGATCAACGAGTCCAATGGCGCCGTGACTCCGGACTGCACGACGGAGCCACCGCAGGCGTACGCACAAGCTCATTTTAAACTCAAACTTCCCTTTTTTTTTTTTTTTTTTTATAATGTCGTATTTGAATTTGTTCTCTCGTCGTTTTAGGTGGATTTAACCGGCGGTTACTACGACGCTGGGGACAACGTGAAGTTTGGTTTCCCAATGGCGTTCACGACAACGATGTTATCATGGAGCATTATCGATTTCGGGAGGAACATGGGGCCGGAGTTGAAGAACGCCGTTAAAGCCGTTAAATGGGCGACTGATTATTTACTGAAAGCGACGGCGGTTCCTGGCGTCGTTTATGTTCAGGTAGGCGATCCGTACAGTGATCATAACTGTTGGGAGAGGCCAGAGGACATGGATACTCTGCGTACGGCGTACAAGATCGACGCGCACCATCCAGGCTCTGACGTGGCAGGCGAAACGGCCGCGGCATTGGCCGCTGCGTCCATTGTGTTCAGATCACGTGACCCGCAGTACTCAAGGCTGCTGCTCAATCGCGCAGTTAAGGTGCGTCGCTATTGTAACACCACTGTAACGGTTCCGTAGGTGAAGAAAAGAAAAACAGAAAACTTAAAAAAAGTGAAAAAAATATCGAGAGAAAATGACCGTTGTTAGTGAAACGGTGTCGGTTTGTTGTAGGTGTTCGAGTTCGCTGACAAGTACCGGGGAGCTTACAGCAACAGTCTGTACCATGCAGTGTGCCCTTTTTACTGCGACGTGAACGGTTACCAGGTGAGTGAGAGAACGCAACTGAATTTTGACCGTTGGATTGTGTTAAAAACTTTGACTTTTTTTTTATAATCACGGGGATTGTTATTAATTTGTAACAAAATTTCAGGACGAGTTGCTTTGGGGAGCAGCTTGGCTGCACAAGGCCTCACGAAGGCGCGAATACAGAGAGTATATATTCAAAAACGAAGTCGTTTTACGTGCTGGAGATACCATCAACGAGTTTGGTTGGGATAACAAGCATGCTGGGATTAACGTCCTCATTTCCAAGGTAATTAATTTTAATTAAAGCCCAAATCATGATTTTGTTAATATGAAAATTGTATGTGATTAATAATAATAATAATCAATCATATGATATGTGATTTATAAATTATAAAACGTTTGTCTTTCTCTAGCGGTTTTATTCTTCTTGTCTTCGTGTTTTTTGTGGTATGTGGGGACTGTTTTTAGCAAATAATGGTCACTTAAACAAATTTAATAAATACATTTTCTAATATGGGAGGTGTCTGTAGATCACGTGCAGAGGAATAACTCAGAATTGATCTCATAGTTTTAGTGGGCTCCCACCTTTAGCCGGACCCACCCATCTTCCCTTTTAGAATTTAGAGATCAACCGTAACAGTTCCCTCACATTTTACAAAAAATGTTTTATCGGAAAATTCGGAGTAATTAGGTGTAATTGAAGATGGAAATACAGGCAGGACCCTTATAGATCTTGAGAATAAAGATATTGATACGTAATAAGTGTAAGTTAAACAGGAAAAAGCAGGGGTTATTAACCCAATGATTGCACATGATTTTGAGCATAAAATTTGGCTTTATTGTTGGCACCAATTTTCTAAATTTCTACAAGTCAAAAAGGTTATTACTTGAGAGAAATATTAGGGTTTCTTTACCCCAAAAAAAAAAAAAAGCAAATAAAAGATAAAAAGTAAATTGTATTGTCTTGTCTCTTCGATCAAAAAACCAAAAGGAAATGAACTTGATCTTGATCATTCTATTTTAGATCTGGGTCATGTGGGGTCCTGATCCAATTCTGCATGCATGTGCTTAAAGGCTGCAGCAAACAACTACGGTTCTTCCCATACTCACTACCCATTATTTTCCTCACAATAATAATGGCTTTTCTCAAAAGTGATTATGACATTCTTGTTAAGTGCTTTTCACTATCTCATTTATAGATTCAGATGATGATATCATTTATCCCAACCCCAACAAAACATTATCTCTGTGCTGTGTATGAATGAATGAATGAATTTAATTCTCACAATCTACGAATATACATTGTAGCTTATACGTAAGACAAATTAATTGTACTGACTGTTAATTATTAAATAATTTCTTATAATTAATGACAGGAAGTGCTTATGGGAAAAGCTGACTATTTTGAGTCTTTCAAGCAAAATGCTGATGGGTTTATCTGTTCTGTATTGCCTGGAGTTTCTCACCCACAAGTCCAATACTCTCCCGGTATATTATTATTTTCTTTTTCTTGGTTTTGTTGATCGAGTTTTTTCATAAATGTGTTTTTTTTTTCTCATTACTATTAAATTTCAGACCTAATATGAGCTGTTATATTTCACGTAATAAAATATTATGCTTTTTGAAAAAAACCCATTTGGGAGAACATTTAAAACAAGAAATCTGCTTGAAGAATAAGTTGTCTTTTGTAACGAAGGTTTTTTTGGGTACGGTTGTAACAGACTGTACTTACCCTGTACCATGAATAATGTGAATTAATTTTAGTGCTTTTGCGGCTACTAGATTATCTTAATCCAGCTTCATTTAATTTAATTTATTATATTATTTCCAATAATTAATTTCTTTTTCAATATATGTATATATTTCATCTTGATATAAAAAGGTGGCTTGATCTTCAAGGCTGGAGGAAGTAACATGCAACATGTAACGTCACTGTCTTTCCTACTTTTGGTTTATTCTAATTATCTTAGTCACGCCAACAAGATCGTGCCATGTGGCGAGACATCTGCCTCCCCTGCTCTCCTCAAACACTTGGCGAAACATCAGGTAAACTAAATCCTTTCTTCTTCTTCTTTTATTATTATTAAATTAGTTAAAATAATTGAAGTGGTCCCAATTCCCAAATCCACATGCCCATTCAATCATGGGGACCACCTCTAATCAGACAAATTAACGGCTAGATCTTTGTACAATCTATCAAGTGGTCCTCGTGTTAACGGCATGATCATCAAGGCACCAATCCATTCATCTATCTCATCACGTGATTGATCAAAATAAAATTTACCAATAATTGTATTTTCTCTTGGCCCTACCAGGTGGACTACATACTTGGAGACAATCCTTTGAGAATGTCGTACATGGTTGGTTATGGTGCACGTTACCCACAGCGGATCCACCACCGGGGCAGCTCGTTACCGTCAGTTCAGACCCATCCGGCCCACATAGGTTGCAAGGCGGGGTCGCGCTATTTCCTAAGCCCGAATCCAAACCCTAATCTGTTGGTGGGGGCTGTCGTTGGTGGGCCAAATGTGACCGATGCTTTTCCAGATTCCAGGCCCTATTTTCAAGAGTCAGAGCCCACGACTTACATCAATGCACCACTCGTGGGCCTACTCGCATTCTTTTCGGCCCATCCTTGATGTAAAAAGGAGATGAATGTGTTGAATGTTAGTGGTGCGCAAAGTGGTCACCCTGCCTACTTATTATTGTGAAAGATTCTAATTGTTCCCAATGAAAGAAGAAAAGTATGCTTTTTGTATACATTATTGTTAGCCTTTTACTTTATTATTTTTTAAGTTTTTGGAGTTTCCAGTTTCATCCACGAGGAGAATTGGCTTATAATTGAAACCTTTCAAAATGCCAAAGCTAATATCATTCTTGGATAATGATTTGTGCAATATCAATGAAAGTAGATCTTGCCTTGAAAAATATGGAAGATATATACTTCTCAACAGATAATAAACCTAATTCCTGAACATTTCTGGCTTTACCAAGAATAAGTTTGTTTTTGAAACTAGGCTAAGTTTTCTATCATATTGAATGAAATTAAACTGATAATTAGGAAATAAATGAGACAGCCACTGTCTCATCTTTGACTTTAAAATCTCCATTGTTTTCACTTTTCCCCCCTACCATAGATTGCAGTAAAAATTAAAAAGACATATTTTCAATTGTATGACAATATTTCATAATCTAATTTTTTTTTAATTTTAAATATTATTTAAAAATTTAGTAATAAAAATACCAAAATGAAGTTTGTTAATTTTATTTTTAAATTCATTTATTAAAACAAAATACTAAACATCATCTTAACATATTATTTTCGATACCCATGTGAAGGTAATCAATGAAAGGTGTGAATTTATTATGAACAATTATTTTATGGGTATACAGATAATTTTATTAATTTCTTTTTGCATACCCACGTACAAAAAAGAAAAGTAATCATGCTAGATCCGACATCTAATAATAGGGCAAGCTTATTAATTTTTTAATTTTTTTCGTGCAATTGTTAAATTAGAAAGAGATAAAGTCTCTAGTTTCAAATATATATCGGAATATTTAATGTTGTGTTTGTTATATTATTTTGAGTATTATTTTAAAAAAAGTCGACTTAGGTTGTTATTATAAGATAAGATTTAAAAATTAATAAAAACATCTCATAAGTTTGTTAGTTTAGTTAAACACTCTTTACAATAAAACATTAAAATTAACAAAAACACCTCCACTCACCCATTAGATGCCGGCCACCACCGTCAAAGGGTGATCGGAAGTTATCGTAATGACATACGATCGACTGGAAAAAGTTATATCAATGCATGACTGGTCAGATCTAACTCGTCGTGCGTCATTATGGTAACTTCCGACCACCTTTCGACGGTGATGGCTCGGTGCCAACATTTAATGGGTGGGTGGGAGAGTTTTTGTCAATTTATAAACTTTTACTATTAGGGTGTTTAGTTAAATTAATAAATGGAGGGGGGTTAAAAAATTTAAATATTTTGAGTTGAATATAATAAAATTGGATTTTAGATAGGATAGGAATAGGATGGAAAAAAATTGCATTATTTTCCTTTAACTATTCATAAATTGCATTATTTTCTTTAGTGCTTTGAGTGACAGAATGGATTGATGTATACATTTATTAAATTATTAAAAGTTGGACCTGTGAAGGTCAACCCTGGCCTTAATTATGAGAGATCCACTCAGGTCTGTTTTCATCTTTTGTTTTTTTCTTCTTTTCTTTTCTAATTATTTTATTTTAATAATTAATTTTAAAATTAGAACATATATTAATATATGAATAGGTTATAGATAGAATATAGAATTAATTACAATAAAATCCCTTTTATAGTTATAACGATCAAATTAAGCTAATTTTGTTACTATAATAAGATTATAACTTAATGAAACAATTTTCTAATAGAATTTACAGATAGGCAGATAAGTTTTCAAATATATATTTGAATATTTAAATGTTTTCATCCAACTTTTCCTAAATTGCATTATTTTCTTAAGTGTTTTGCGGGATAGAATGGATTGATATATACATTTATTAAATCATTACAAGGTGGAGCTTTGTCAGGTCAGCCCTTAATTATGAGAGATCCACTAGGGTCTGTTTTCATCTTCTCTTTTCTAATTATTTTATTTTAATAATTAATTTTAATTTTACATCAGATATTAAATATGAATAGGTTTATAGATAGAATACAGAATTAATTATGTTTCAACTAAAATTAAAGGATCATAAAGTAAATTTCATCTGCTTCATCGACTATTATAACTCAAATTTAAGCACATCTTATTTCAGATTTTCCCATAGTAATTTTAAAATTCCCATATACTTCCCCATACAATTAGAATCATTAATGAGTCATTTGCAAACACTATATGAATATTGGACTTTTAAATCCATATGAAGAAAAAAATTATTTCATTCTCGTTAAAAACAAAACATCTTGTATCACAAATTTTCATTGAGAAAATTTGCGAGTCCTCAAAACTTTAACAACCAATTAATCAGTTTTTATTTTATTTTATTTACTTTTATAACAGGAGTATCTAGACTAGTTTGAGCGTACTTCCACTTTAAAAAAAAAAAAAAAATTAACCAAACCAAAAACCATCACATTTTGTAAAATGGATAATGAGGTGGATTTGAGTATTTATAAAGAGTGGATCTTTTGGCACTCCCTTATATTAAATTATATAAAATTAACTTTAATTTCCCACTCTACACAAGTACTTTTGACACCCATTATTATTTCATAAAACCTAATTAGAATTAATAATAAAGATAGGATTCAACTATGAGATTTTTATTTTTTTTTTTTCAAGGTATTGATAGTTATTTTAATCTATATATTTTTTGTGTTGTTTAACTTTGTTATGTTTTTGGAATTGTTTGTAAGGATTTTTTTTAGCTTTAATTTTTTTTTTTTCTGAATTTTCAATTTGATTATCTAAAATTTTGTTTTAGGAATAACAATGGTGAGAGGTATATAATATAAGTGAAGTGGATATAATGTTTAACTCTTTTAAAATGAAATAAATGGAATGAAAGGGCATTGATGGTGTGCCATAAGAAAAAAATTTAACTGTAAAACTTTGAAATGGAGAATCTGAACAAATAATGTTTCTTTAGTGCATTAGTGGGGTGTTAATAGCTTCATTCATTTGAGCATGGACGTGGGAATTCTAGTCCAACCCAACCATATTTAGTAACTATATTGTATATAAATATAGGAATTTGCTATTAAAGCCGGAAAGTGAAAGGTGAAAGGTGATATATCCTTCCATTATATATATATTGTCAGCAACTATACTGTATATAAACATAGGAATTTGCTAGTAGTATAGCTGGATTTCACGACTATATATCATGCAAACAAATAAACATCAAGGACGATCGGCCAAATATTTCGCTAAAATCTAAGTTGTTCCTACCAGATATCACATGCATTTATGGGACCATATAGACAATAATTCTAATATTACATCATCAACCATAATTAGGCCAAGCATTTCATTTCGTGCGCTCTGAGTCGGATATTAGTAAACATGCATTCTTCATCTTGATCACGTGAAGAGATGGAGTTGCCGCTCTACTTAATTAAGATAAGAAAAATAAAGTCACCTCCACAACTTCTCTTCAACCCGATTGAAAAGTTCCCATCAAATGAGTGTAAATTTAGAATTAATTTTTTTTTTATACAATTTCATCCATACAAATTAACGTATTTTAATTTCATTAGATGATTTTGAATTAGAGATAAATTAAACAAAATAGATAGAGATGAGCCTTTTCCTCGCTGCACCAGGGACTTACCCGAACGGTATGAGGACTAAAAAATTCCGAATCCCAGGGACGGGGCGGGGACAGGGATAAAGGTCTCCCTACCCTGCCTGCTAATTAGCCTCCTTTTATGCTTTTCTTCTCTCTTTTCTCCACCTTTCTCCTCCTCTTTCCTTCTCTTTCTCTTTCTTTCCTCCTCCCTGTTCAATCCCTCCAGGTGCTAGCATTTGGCGCTCCAGTCTAGCCAAGCGATGGCTAGATTGTGGCTGCTCAATATATCTGGCTACAGAAACAGATAGGGCGGCCACGATTTGGCCACCACTTGGTCAGATTCTTGCGAAATATCAACAAAATAACCATTTTTTTTAAGTTTTGAATTCAATAAAATTTGATTTTTTTTATAAGTTCAGGTTTATGAATAAAAATTGATTTGTTATGAGTTCGGGTCTATGAGTTTTAAAAAGATTGGGTCTGGTGGGGATGGCTTTGATGGAGTTAGATTTACAGTTTCTGAAAGTTTCTCCCGACAAGAGTGGCGATGGGGACGGAGACGACTCTAAAATTAGAGTAGATGATATATTAAAGATGTAGGGTTACTACATCAATTTGTATAAAATAGTTTGCATAACTAGTTTGTACATATAATATTCCTTATAAAAAAAATTAGGATTTACGATGAAATCAATATTTTTCGGTTGGATTAATAATATATTCAACATATAATTTTTTTTTTTTTTTTTACAAAAATTAAATAAATGATGAAAAAATATTTCATCAAAGAAGTCTAGGGATGGGCGTGGGGCGGGGTGGACCCCATTCCCCGTCCCACACCTTATGCGGGGATTTTGAGGGGAAAATTCGCTGCTCACTCCCCGTATGATTTTGCACTTTATTATGTTAATATTTTAAATATTTTTTTTTTGAAAAATGGTTACAAAACTTTAGTACGTTAATTACTATCTATCAAAATTAAAAATATGCGCAAGATTAATAACACTCTTTTGTCATAATCAAAGATGGTAAGCATAAATAAATTATTTTATTTAATTACTTGTTAATTTGAAGGTTTAAATAATAAGAAATTATTAATATAATTAGAGATACATCATACATCAAGCATTTGTAATTTTGTAAACCATTGAATAAAAAATAAAATATTAATATTTTAATTAAATATTATAGAGAATTTAGAAAAAAACATTTGATATTTTCATAAAATTAATTAAACTATATTCAATCTTAACATATGATGAGTTAATTAATTGATTCATAAATCACTATCACTGCCACAACTAATAAAATTAGTCCGTTTGTGAAAGGGACAAATCCCATTACCCTAACATTAATTAA